TACTATCCGTGGAGACTTTTTTATGCATATAGGCAATATATGCATTTAAGTCATAAGAACCATTTTTGCGTTAATAATTAAATTTTTTATGCATTTAGAAGGTATATGCAATTAGACAGTATCACCTATATATACATCTAAAAATCTTATTTCTTGTTTGTTTAAATTATAGTGTCTCATATCTATATAGTTATGCTGTATTTAGTTGTATGCCCGATATTTATTTATCTGAATTCAAAACTATATATAACTATTCTGTATTGGAGTTGTCCAACATTTTCGAATTAAGCTTATATTCATCCGTTCCTGGTTTAGCGCGGCAATGTCGCGCAGCTACTTATTAAAATATATACGCGAAAGACATCAAATTATCATTTATTATATAAATAAGCTTACAAATCAATAAATAAGATTTATGAATCATTGGTTTCGAAATAAATACATCATCAATTTAATTCGAAATCAGAAACCTGAACCTTAGTTCTGAATCACCCTATTGAATGATTTCTCAAATAATTATTTCATTTCAAACCCTAAATCGAGACCATTCTACATAATAATAATAATATGACTGATTATTTCACTTAACCCGATTTAAGGTTTGAAATGAAATGATCGACATTTTGAATTCAGAGCAAGAATAAGTGGCTTTGTTAATATGCTAATTGATTAGCAAAAATTTTCAAAATGACGATATCGAAATTATATTTTGTATAATTTTATTGTAAGGATTTAATTTTAATAGTAGTTAAATAAAAAATTTGTGGTGATTATATGAAATTACTGGGACTCCTGACTTGGACCGGACTTTTAACATTACTTATCTTTAAGAAATATCGATATTATTGTGTAATGGTAATAATAAGTAAAAAAAATGTAGCATTTGCAAAAGGTTGTATTTGTGAATCATAATAAGTAATAATCAGTCGTAATAAGCAATAATTAATAGTTATTCGGCACGAAGTGCCGAATAACTGAGTTATTTGCTGTATGCTATTTGATTGATCGATTTAAGCACCTTCGGTGCTTAAAATTCGACCAGTCAAATCATATGGCAAATAGCGGTAAGGTACAATAGTGTTCTAATACTAGTAAAGCGCGATAACGCTTTACTAGTATTAGAACAACTATCGTACCGTAGTTATGAGTACTTCGTGCTTGAATAACTGGATTATTCGGCATTTATATTTATTAGATTTTGCATACCAACTGTTGAAATTTTATTATTTTTATGCACGTGAGTTACGCACGTTGTTCGAATATATTTTAATAACGTGTGTAACTCACGTGCATAAAAATGATAGAATTCAAATGCCGGATAACAGTTGGTAACTGCATAATCCGATAAATAGAAAATGCCGAATAATAAGTAATATTGATACGTAAAAGTACGTAAGGGTAAAAAAAAAAATATTTATTACTTACTTATTCGGATTAATGTTTGAAAGCTTTGCAATTAAGTTAATAATTACGTATTACACAACATTATCGCGTGCCGAAAATATGTTCATACTCATGTAGGTATTAACATAACATTAACCTAAAAATAGATATGCGCTGGAGCTGATATGGCATAAGTGCATTCATAACGTTTTAAGTAAAGTTATTTATAGTGTCTAACTTAAATTATAAACTACTTTATTTAAATTTAGACTACTTTATTTAAATTTAGATTACTTTATTTAAATTTAGACTAGTTTATTTAAATTTAGACTACTTTATTAAATTTAAACTACTTTATTTAAATTTAGACTACTTTACTATACATATAAATTTTTAAAAATATATGCGTTTAATGTAACGTCAATTAAATGTTAAAATTTCAAGTACAGTAGAATCTTTTGCTACGTGGTGTGATTGAAAGGTTTTGCACTTAGATTAATATCTCAATCATTTTAAAAGACATTTTTTAAAATTAATATGTATAAATATAGTGATTATGACAGTTTTATAAAAAATTTTTAGCTATTTTTATCACAGTTTTTAAAATATTAAATTTTTAAAGATTAGTTTAAAAATATTAAAAAATATAAAAATTTTAACTCAATTTCTTTGAAAATTTAATAATAATAATTTCAATTATGTAGTTTTTAAATATATAATATATTTTTAAAATATTAAAATTTCAATTAAAAATTTTTTTATTTTGCAAAGCTGTGTTATTTTAAAATTTTTATATTTTATAAATTTTATAATAAATGATAATTTTTTTTAATAATTATTTTTTTACAACTATTATATTTTTAAATAAAATTATTAAAATTTATTTAAAATTAAAAAAATTTATTTTAATTATATAAATATAGATTATTATTATAAATATATAAATTTTTTTATTATATAAAAATTTTTTAATAAATAAATATAATTAAACTTTCATTTTAATAAACTCCAATTGCTTAAGTTAATAAGCTTAAAATCTAATTTTTTTAATAACTATCTGATTAAAACTCAACAAAATTTTTTTTATAGAATTATCAGAACCACTATATTTATGTAGATTTTAAAATTGTATCTTTAAAAATGATCGAGATATTGATTAAGTTCAAAACTTTTCACGTACAAACTATTTAGTGTTAGTAAAAAATATAAAGATAAAAGTTGTATAATCAAACTATCGAGCACCATGTGATCAATCACGAAAATTTCGACAGGGCGTCTTTATACTGCGCCTCCGAATTAGTGAACATGGCGTTGTATGGCTAGGTATTAACTTAGCAGATCTATTTCGATTTATTAAAAAATTTTTATTGAAGTTTAATCTTCTATATGCAATTCATATTTACAATGATTTGTGAATATGCTGTTTGTTTTACATTGTTTAAAAGAAAAAAAACCTATCTGTTTAATTTATATCAATCATTCCAAAGAATTCCACCGACAGTGCCATTGTTTGGAGCAGGAATCAACCCTAAAATTTTAGCTATTATATTATAAACTTCGGTATTAATAAAACCTTTTACTATATTTGTCTTTTTTTTCACTGCTATTTCTTTGAATACAGGACCTGAGGCTAGGAATATTCCTCTCATTTCAGGTTCAAGGTTATCATAACCGTGAGCACCTTTTGGAGTTGAATTACCAAAATCGCGATGTGTCGAAAGAATCCAACCCAGAGGAGGAATGCAATAAATGGGTGCTATACGGCGCGAAGCACGATAATTAAAACGCTCAGGAATCTCCTCACGAAGATAACATTGCCAAGGCTGATTTTGACTCGCTTCTTTCAATGATAAATATATTTCATTGATATCAGAATCATTATAAGGACGAACTCCAGCTAATGGATGACCTTCTAATGGATGAACTTTTGAAACGTTGAAAACATTGTCTAAAAAAATTTGATTACTCGAAATAGTTTGAGCCATTCCATGATCACTAACCTAATTAAAATGAAAGTTAATAAATAATCTAATACAATAAAGATAAATAAGTTGAATTTTAAGATACTAACTATTATAAAATTGACAATATCAGATAAATTTCTTTGAACTAAACCTTCCCATAGACCAAATGCAAAATCGTCAACATATTTAAGAGAATCATTTACACCCACAGAATCAGGACCAAATTTGTGACCAGCACTATCCACTTGACTTGCATAAGCAGCAAGGAATGTTGGTCTTTTATCTAACGGAAGATCTAGCCAATCCATTATTTGCCTGACCTTTTCTTCAATAGCAACATTAGGAGCATATGAATAATGATAAGTTGGAGTATATCCTTGAATAACAGATGAAGTTCCAACCCATTGTGATACACCGGATTTTTGGCCTTGTTTAGCAGCAGTTACCCAAATCTATAAAAATTAATTAGAATATTAAAAATAAAAATAATAATAATCAATAAAAGACTAACCGGTTCACCGCCCCACCATTTTGAATCCCAGCTTTTATTAGGATTAGTATAATAAAAATCATCATTAAGATCAGGATCATAAAATTCATTTCCAACAATTCCGTGAGACTCAGGATAAAGGCCAGTGACAATTGTATAATGATTAGGGAATGTCACAGACTGTTATAAGAAAGATGATACAAAATTAGAAATTGAAGATTTTAATTAGAAATAAAATAAAAAGTTTTCATACCGGAAATGATGGCATCAAGTATTCAGCTCTAACACCATTTTGAACTGTAATTAAAATTCGAAATAAATAAATAAATTTGATAAAATTAAAACCATCAATAGATTTAAACTTACCAAGTTCATCCAACGTAGGAGTAAGATTCCTATTCAAGTAATCAGCTCTAAATCCATCGAATGATACCAGAAGTACAGTTGGATAAAAATCATGGGTTCCATTAAAAAAAGTCGGAGTTACCAGTTTATGGCTTCTGGGGGAGTATATTACTACAATAATCGTGCCCATAAGTATTATGATCAGAATAGCTATCATAAAAACCCGAACAAATAATATATAACGAGCCTATTATAGTTTTAAATAAAAAAAAAAAAAGTTTAATAATAAATTCAAGAAACATTTTTCTTAGAGATTGTACCCATCAAGAATAGATCGAACCTCAACTTGATTTTCATCTTTCGGCTCTTCAGAGTCAGAGACCCTTCCAGTTAGCAGCCCTTCCTTTTCTTCGACGTATAAAGCATCTGATTTATACTCTTCGGAGTTAACTTCCGGATCGTTGTTCATTTTATGTTATTTTGATTTTTATGAAAGGAATATACTGAGATTATAAAATCATTTATGATCCAAAAAAGACGCTCTTTATGACGAAAGGGTCCTGTGTTTCACAATTAAAATAAATTGAGCCACAATGCGCCAAAAACGTGATATGAACAAATTTGTCGTTATCGTTATCGTTATCTACTATAGTTAACTATTTTTATAAAATATTCCGGCCATAACGATAAATAAAGAACGCGAGTTTCAAATTACGATAAAATAACTGAGCGGAAAATCGGAATATTCATGCTTCACAAAACTGTAAAACTAGATCATATAATTTGGGTACATAAGGAAAAAATGGGGAAAAATTGCAATGGTGCCGGAATTATTAGGTTTCAAAAGATATTCCGAACTTATATATATAGCTGCTTTTTTATCCTTTTCTCAGTGCTTTTCTTTTCCACAGCGAATTGATTAGAATCGTGAAGAGGAGGTTATTCGCAAATTAAAACTCGATATGCCGAAACAACTTCGTAGGATTCATCATACTGGCCGTACCTTACGGCGTAGACATGTAAGGTCTACGCAACCTCCGCCAAGGCCCCCCACACCTACGCTCCCTCCGATGGAGCATACCGAGTTTTCTGATCTTTTATTTAATGGCCGCTCAAGCTTTCTATAACTTTCTTTAATAATCGAATAGACTTGACAAAAAACACAAACATTTGTAAATGGCAAAGCTGAAACTTTACGGATTTAAGCGGCGGATGCTTAATCTGTATTATTTTAATGGGGCAGGACTCTATTTAAATGGCAAACATCTGAATAACAGCAACATCTGAATTACGGCAAACATCTGAATAACGGTTAACGTCTGAATAATGACAAACATCTAACATCTGAATAAATAGATTTTACGCAATTAAGGAAATAATTTATAAAAGTTTATGAAAAAAATTATAATTATATGTTATTATTATGAAATATTATATTCATAACACCCGTCTTAATTAGAGATAGATTAGGGTTAGGGTGTGGGTATTAAGAATTATTTTTTTTTTATATAATATAATATAGAGCTAATATAAAGGTTTTTGGGGTCCTGAACATTTTTACTTAGAGTACCCGATCCCGTTTACTTAGCACATTTTTGAGATATAGCATAAGTTATAAATACAATTTTTCTATTATTATAGGTTAAATATAGAGTAATTTAATAATAAAAATAAAATATATAATATATAATAAAATATGATAGAACTAAATTATGATTATGGTCCTCTAAAAACATACAAATGAATTTTTTTTTTCGCGCCATCGCTGCAGCATAGGTAGACAACGTGATTAAAATCGGACATCAAACGTTTTGCAGGTCAACCAAAACTGAATATAGTATTGGTTGATCTGTGATCACTTGATGTCCGACTTAATCACAAGTATTTGACTGTCAAATTTTTGTTTGATTTTGCCGAGCACTAAGCATAGGTACGAGATGCAAAAATCAATTTTGCATTTTGAGCAATCCAGCAATTAATTCACATCCCTCTATCTTCTGGAGTTTTCCGGGGCGGCCACCCCAAAAATTCGCTAATGATCAATGTCACTGCCGCAGCATCCAATCAACAATCAATTAATTAATTAAATGCAGCAGTTGCGATTTCATTACAGCATTAGCGAACTTTGGGGTGGCCGCTCTGGCAAACTTAAATATTCTGCGGCGATGACTTAACCCACACTTTGGGAGCGCCTTGGAGTGACACTTTCGGATCGTATTATTTTTATTAAGGAATACGTATATGAGATTATGAAACATTTGAAATGTTCTTTGTTAAAAAAAGGGGCTTGTCGTACCAAATTCCATAAAAATTGTGGCGAATATGCTCAAGCACACGATTAAAAATAACAGTGGAAAAATCGGATTAATTTTTACAAAATAGTAAAACTAGAAAACTCATTTAGTACAAAGAATTCTACAGAAAAAATAACAAGAACGACCGGAATTCTATAGGAAAAATAACAAGAAACGACGGAATTATTAGATATTCCGAAAAATTTATAAAATGAGCCTTGAAATTCATTTCGATACTTATCTTTTTTATGATTTTTTTTTTTTGCTTGTAAGATTTAAGGAGGATTAGGAGGATATATATAAAGATAACGTAGATTTTTATCCTGCTTATCAATTTTCTAAGTCTGAAAATTTTTTCTATTTCATAAATGTCTATTTCTACGAGGCAAAGGATCAATAATCATAATAGCAGTATCATTCTGCCCCTTCCACAAACTGTTGGAGAATCACGACGCAGACGTGGCAGGCCCACTTCACGAAATAGTCATAATGGCAGTACTCTTCTGTCCCCTCCACGAACTGTCAGAAGATCACGACGCAGACGTGGCGGGCCACGAGTGGCAACTACATCACCTACGCCACATACACCTCCTATACCTCCCACACTCCCTCCGATGGAACACACGGAATTTTCTTATTTTTTGTTTCATGGTGGGCATTTTAATGACTTTGAAGATTGAACGAACTATCAATATATTATAATGGAAATAACAACACAAACAAACCTTTTTAAACGGATAAGCTAAAATCACAATCACGATCACAAACACAAATTTTAAACGGATAAAACTAAATCATGAACACGAACAACTAAAATTTTTAAACGGATAAAACTAAATCGCAAACATAAACAAAATTTTTTTTAAACGATAAGACCAAATCACAAACACAAACAAAAGTTTTAAACGATAAACTAAATCACAAACACAGGCAAATTTTTAAACGGATAAACTAAATCACGAACACAAACACAATTTTTAAATAAACTAAGCACCGGAAGCTTAGTTTAATTTTTATAATATTATCCGCGCGGAGCGGGTATCTTCGATATTCTCGTTCAAATGAGAAAAATCTATTTTACGTAATATTATTTTTCGATTTTCATCAAAAGCATGGGTTAATTATTTATGAAAAAAAGAGTAAGCACAGCTATAAAACCATTTAGAGTCATTTTTAATTATAATTGCATTATTATCATAGATTAACTAGCATTTGTCTTAAATATTTCAAATATAATTTATATATAATAAATAACCAGTGTAAATAATAATTACAATATATAATAAAATTTGAGTGCATTCTTAATAAATAGAGAATTAAATTTTAATAACGGGGAAATTTTTAATTAGGGGGCTGACAAGTATTAGCTCATTATACCCCCCTCTGGGATTTTAATTTGATACTCCCAGGGTCAGGTATTTGATATATGTAAATAATATATATGACAATTTCGAATTTTCACATACCGTAAAGTGCCATACCGAAGACCCGGCGTGACAAATATGGTAGATTAATTTTTAAAATATTATTTATACATCATGTGATACATAACACATGTGATTTAAAAATTTTTCTATTGTAAAAAATTGCATCACACCGGGTCTTCGGCATGGCACTTTACGGTATATTATTTATATATGTCAGATATCTGACCCTGGGTATCAAATTAAAATCCCAGGGGGTATAATAAGCTAATACGTTGAAAATTGATCATAACTGTTTTCGATATTTTCAAAAAAATACATACGTATAAAAATTTTTTTTTTGCTAATACGTACTCGAATACCTGATTAGTTTTAAAAAATCGATTTCCATATATATAATTGTTTAATACGTATAACAATTACGTAGTTGGAAATCTCAATGTGTTCGCGAAAAAAAAAAAACTTTTCAGTGATACAGTATCATCCAAGACATCTAGTAAAAATCACTATTGAAGATTTTTTTAATTGATCTTCGAAAATTTCAAATTATATTAAATTATTAATAAAAAATGCCCTTTAATAACTCTTGTTATATTGATTTTTTTTTTAATTCTGCAAGTTGACATTTATTCTTTGAGTGTCTATCATGTAATAGCCTCATATTTTAATATTTAATTGTTTTTATATTACGCGAAGACGTTTTTTATTAATAATTTATTATAAATCAGGAATTTAAAATTAATTTCAAAAAAATCTTCACTAACGATTTTTACTACCCGTAAATCGCCGTATACAAGACCCGTGTGATGCAATTTTTTTCAATTGAAAAAATTTAAATCACGTGCATTACGCATCACTTGATGTATAAATACTATTTTAAAAATTGATCTACATTATTTGTC